CGGTCTCGCTGCCGGAATTGGCTACGGTCCCGCTATTGCTGGACGTGCCTTCGGTGGATGTGGTTGCGGAATCTACTAAGAACTCTCTCATGAACAATGTCATCTGATAATAAATATTTTTGAATGCAAACCTTTCTTTTACTTTTTATAATTTTTTTTTATAATATCAGGTGGCAAACGAGCAAGCGGCCACTTGAATCCACCGAAATAGAAAGCGTCCGCTGCCCATAAACATTCGCAATTGCAGATGCGTTGCCTACACTTAATTGAAGGAGGAGGAGACGCACATAAAGAGGACATTTCTCCTTCCTATGCGTCTCCTCCACCATCAAATCCACCTTTCCTTCCCATCCATCCTAAGAAAAGGGTGGGAAGAGAAAGGGGCTAAAATTAGGCCTCCGGCAGCACACTCATCAGACGAAACGCGGAAATGCTCTCACTTCACGCCTATTTTCTGCGTGATGGTGGTTTTTCACCTCGCGAGCCATCCAATTCGTGCGAAGATGTTAAAGCGGGCTCTACCACTATTAACTGGTTGAAACTTACACAAGGTTTGATACCAGGTGCCGGGATCACCGCATTACTTAAAAATGAAAATCAGAGAGAACTATTTACTGATTGTATCGTACGTATTGTGTAATCTGGCGCTTGTTTTAAAAAAAATCCATAAATATAAGAAAATGCGCTTTATTGTAACATTTAATTATTTAACAGCAACTTAAATGATAAGGCCATGCTTTAATTCTAAATTCCATTGAAATCTAACAGATTTTAAGATGCGCTTACGAAGCGAAGTGTTTGTACATTCGTTTTAAAATTGGGCTGTTAGTTATTTTTAAGCAATTTGCTTATGCCGGAGCCAACTCTTAAAACTGGCTTTTCGAGCAAATTTATATAGGAAATAAATTGTGAAACGATTAACCGGACTAGACCGAAACTGTACATACAAGTTTGATCCCCGCTTATACAATTTGTTTTTCGATTTTCAAACAAATGTATACTAATTTTATGTTCTTACGATGAAGGAAAACATGGTGATTCAACCTTCACATCCAAGAAAAGATATTTGTTAAACCAATCAACCCTAACTGGGTCAGCGTGGTTAACTAACGCATAGTCATCCTAGCTTGGCTAGGCGCCAAAACTCAAAATTTTGGACACAAACTTGTGAACAAGACACAGTAATATTTTTTAAATTTTGTAGTAATGAAAGTACTTACACTTTTATACTAAATAAATATAATGTACAAAATTAATTTATAATTTTTAGATTAGAGTAATATCTTTTTACCATAACGTCATAAAATCTTCAATGAACGAATGAAAAAAAAATTAACTATAGCAAATAAAACTTTCAAAGCACACTTACTTTTATTTAGTATTCTTAATGGACATGCAATAACTGAGTAAATTAACACCGAGTTGATACAGACAATAATGCTGAAACATATCTAAAGGTATCTGACCATTTCAACATTATTTTATGTATTACAGCATTTTGTCATGCGAATAGGTATGTTAAATAAAATTAGAGCTTTTTCGTTATGATATCTCGGTTTTATTATAGACAGATTCAAATAGTCATAGTTTGCTTTTAGTACAGGTAACCGCCGTTGTAAGCACCGTTGCACCCGCAGCCGCCGGCGCAATTTCCAGCAATGGAGACAACGC